GGTTTCAAACAAAAAGATAAGGATACACTGTCCATCTGAACTCATTATACTTTCATCAGGGGGTGTGTTCTTCATAAGAATTTGTGCTTGCGGAAACTCAGTCTGTAGTCTCTGAGTGAAAGCTCCAATACGTTCATATTCCAGGCCACGGTAAACAAAAACTCTATTCTGAACCGTAAAATGGAAAAGTTGAGTAATGTAACACGCCTTATTTAGTTTAAAACAACCGAAATATAGTATTATTTGTCTTTGTACAAATGTTTAATGAGTAAATATTATACTCATTGTAAATTAAACCGAATCTCGTTACAATTCTACTCCTCATTTTCCTGACAAATGCATTTAAAACAACCGAAATATAGTATTATTTGTCTTTGTACAAATGTTTAATGAGTAAATATTATACTCATTGTAAATTAAACCGAATCTCGTTACAATTCTACTCCTCATTTTCCTGACAAATGCATTTGATCATTCAAAAATAAATAAATCAACATTTCTGTATATTAATTATACCCAAATGTTTCATTTCATCAACAGATTTCTCCTGGGCACATTTATGTACAATACATGAAATGGATATTATATTATTAAAAATTTCTAATAAAAATAATTCAGCAGAACTAGCATGAGTAGATTTTAATTGTAAGGAAAGCTATCAGCTTCAGAAATAAATGTTGTTTGTTGTCTTAAAAAAAGAGGGTCTGTCATAAACAGTACAATATCACTTAACTTTAATTCATAAAAAAATTTGGTCATAAAAATTATCTTCAAAACAACTTCATTCATCTAATCAACTTAAACTAAGAAAACACTGCTCTAAGTTTCGGTAAAACTCCTTAGACAGCAGACATCACAGTTGCTGTTATTTAATAAAAAGGATATGTAACTCACCCGCAAAAAGAGAGGAAAACCCATTCCATAAAATCCAACTCGAAAATACTCTGGTTCTGGTCGCAACTGGTTAAGGATGTTGTCAAAAAAAGTTGCCTGTATTTTCTGTATTAAAATTATATAACATAAATATTGCAACGAATCAAATTTATATATTTCATGTTTAGTTCAACTTCAAAAACACCAACTAAAACATCATACACATACAAAACTGAAACTTGATATTTTTCACATTGAAACAAAGTCAAAACTTAGATTTTCTAAATGTGCTAAATGCTATAATCTAATGTTTACCAAAATCAGGTCTCATTAATGAGACCATCTATAACCAATTTAACACAGAACAATACCAAAATACTGCTTTCAGTTTTAATAATATTAGGGAATAGAATACTCATTAAAATTATGCTGGGTTTTAAATACGAAAGTAACAAACAAGAATATTGCAGCAAGTTTAATATTAACAATGTTGAGAGAATTAAACTGTCAAGGAAACTATAACAGTTTTTAATCTATTGACTGTGGCTTCTCTAAGCATGCACGGAATTTTTGCAAGCCGTACACTCCCGTTCAACTGCCAGAGGCGGACCGTACCCTATAAGGCGAATCAGCAGTCAATGGGTTAATTAAAAACGTAAGAGGCAACAACATTGTACCATTTTTTATTTTATTTTTCAAAAGGAAGGATATTCTATTTCATTAACGAACTTACCAGAATTGAACTGAGCCTAGCATAATCAAATAATTTCTTCTCGTACAAGTCGGCCAGTTCTTTACACAGTGGAATGCCTTCTTCCCAGCACTAAGCCAAAGATTAAATACTTTAGTAACATATGCTAAGCAATTTTTAAACTACAACAAAAACTGTTTTGTTTTCATTTTCAAAAGCTTTACAATTTTAACGACTTGAGATTATATTCTTTTATGACTCTTTCTGAAAATATCTAAAAACAATTTTTAAGTTTCATCTTGAAGAGAACAAAAGGCTTCCCCCACTTGTTTGATATAAAGTTTTAATTAACTTACTATAAATAAAGTGTATAAACGAGTACTTATTAAAGCATAGAGGTAATGAGACTACGATTTGAAAAGGTTGGTGAATGTGGCTGCAGGAGGGTGTTTGTTTGTTGTCGAGTGCACAATTACACGATGGGCTATCTGTGCTCTGCCCACTGTGGGTATCAAAACCAGATTTTTAGCAGCATAAACCTTCGGAACAACAGGAGGTTCAAGAGGGAACTCTTATAAAAAATCTCCAACAGATAAAATCTGTTAAAATTTTTGGGTTGAATCATGTTTGCCTCTCAAAGAAATTGAAACTAGTATTGAACTCATTACCTACTAATGTTCCGTTTTGTTATCTATCCTGATTAATCATTTCATTTTATGTGATAATTTAGTTTTAACGCAAGTCTTTTTGTTTAATATACTACTTTAATAAATAAATCAGCAGCAACTTTTTAAATATTGGCAAAATACATGCCCGATTACTTGATAATATTTTATCGCTGAAACCTTTTATTTAGGAGTTATTTCTTTATAATATTTAAGAATTTCATAATATAAATTGTTTTCTGTAAAAATAACTTTTCATTCCATCTTTCCATGCACAAACACCACATTAATTATAAATTTCATATTTTGGAACATTATACATTTTTTTAATAAAGAAAATATTATTGTACCCAAGTTTTGGCATTTAGTTTCAGCCTTATAAGAAATAGTAACCTATAATAAAACTGATTCTAAAGCAGCTATTAACGGGGAAGAAAAACTAATTACTGTGTTTTCATCACATAATTATGATGGAATATAACTTTGTATATTTATCAGATTCTTCAGTTATTTAATGGTTAAATTGAGAACAAATCGAGCACTCACGGTTTTACACATATTATTATAACTCACACTGAATTATTTATCAAACTGACTTTGTTTCATAGAACTTAGATTCAACTTCAATATTATAAACTTCTACTGTTACTCAACTTCGTATTGCAGGCTTCAATTTCAACCAACAAATCTATAATATGAACTTTAGAAAAAATACAGTTATATTAAACATTTAATCTACAGTTACACAATTAATGTTTTAGAAGTATTATGTATTTTGATTTGACCCTTGTAAAGAGAAGGTTTTATTACCCAAAGCTAGTATTACAAGAAAACTGCACCGTGACATAAACAAAAAATAGCTTTACAGATTCCAATTTTCAACCACTGAGTTTAAAGAAATATCATATACACTCCTACTCATAATGAATACATTACTGTTTTTAGTTATCGTCACATGTACAAACAGCTAAACACTGTTAAGTTTCTTGAGATAACACCTAGATTTAGCAACATCGCGTTAATGCACTATGAGGTAGCACTTAGTTCTAGAAACATGGTGTTAAGATGCTTGAAGTAGCACCTAGATCTAGAAACATGGTGTTAAGATGCTTGAAGTAGCACCTAGATCTAGAAACGTGGTGTTAAGATGCTTGAAGTAGCACCTAGATCTAGAAACGTGGTGTTAAGATGCTTGAAGTAGCACCTAGATCTAGAAACATGGTGTTAAGATGCTTGAAGTAGCATCTAGATCTAGAAACATGGTGTTAAGATGCTTGAAGTAGCATCTAGATTTAGAAACATGGTGTTAAGATGTTTGAGATAACACCTAGATCTAACAACATGGAGCTGAATTGCTTGGCACCTAGATCTTACTAGGTGGTATTAAGTCGTTTGAGATAACACCTAGATCCTATCTATATGATTTTAAGTCTCATGAGATTTTTTTCCCCATTGAAAAAAAAAAAACACTGAGGAAGGATGAATAATTGGAGTCACTATGAAATAGATGAGAATGAACATATCACTTTCTGGAGAACTCAATAGTTAGCAGTTAGAGAAAATTTTGTTAGCAGATTTTAAAGAAATAGGCAGTGCCACAACATTCAGTTAGTTGTTTCTATAAGTTACCTACAGTATATAAATTTCTCATAACATAAAGTTTCTACAATATCTTTATAAATGTTAAGCCTAATATTCTTGTTTTCTGTTTATATTTCTATAAGCGTTGACGGACCTTTCCTTTATCGAAATAGTCAATAATTTTTAGATAAAGGGCTTCTTTCCTCTGCCACTCTTGTTGCTCTCGGTATCTCTGGTCAACTGGAAGGGTACAGTTGGACCAAGACAACAGATCCGCGTGCAGCTTGAGGGTGTAGGCTGCTTCCGTGTAGTTCTCTGCAGGCAGATGAAGTTCACACAACTTGTAGATGTATCGAATGTACATGTCTTTCCTGTTGATTTCATTTTTGTAGAAGTTCTAAAACATTGAACAATGTATCAGTTTCCCACAATGATAGACATTATGAAAACTTCAGCTATATAAAAATTACAGAACAGTTATACAATTATTAGTAATATCTAAATAGCAAAAAATAACAACATTAACACATAAAGATATACAAAATTGATAAAATTAAAAAATAACAACATTAACACAAAGATATACGAAAGTGATAAAATTAAAAAATAACATTAACACAAAGATATACGAAAGCGATAAAATTAAAAACTAACAACATTAACACATAAAGATATACAAAATTGATAAAATTAAAAAATAACAACATTAACACAAAGATATACGAAAGTGATAAAATTAAAAGATAACAACATTAACACATAAAGATATACGAAAGTGATAAAATTAAAAACTAACAACATTAACACATGAAGATATAAGAAAGTGATAAAATTAAAAATAACAACATTAACACATAAAGATATAAGAAAGTGATAAAATTAAAAAATAAAACATTAACACATAAAGATATACGAAAGTGATAAAATTAAAAGATAA